TGCGCCAAGTACTTCACGATGGCCACTGGAGGAAATAACTCGGGGTCCATTTGCCAGGAAAAATCCTTTAATAAATGCCAATATTTTGCACAAGGACCCTGATCTGTTACAATCAGGATATACAGAGGGAGACCTGATAAGGCTCTGCTCTCTCAACACACTCATTCTAGGATTAGAGAAGCTTCCTGCATTCTAAGAAGGAAACGTGTGCAGTCCTGCTGGGGTTATTTTTAGCATGCACGCCACACAGTGGACTTCTCCATCATTTTGATCCTCAGTTTCCATCTCCGCAAACTAGCATTCACCTGTTTGACTAAAGAGTTCAAGGGATACTAAAATAAAAATGGCTATTTGGCCTTTACCGCGGGCCACAAGCAGAGACGATGAGTAAGTGCGAAATGACAAGTATGACTTTTTTCAATTAAAAATTCATTTTCCGTTATACAAGAGCATCGATTTTGGGCTTTTACAGACCTTTCTGCATCATGGGAGTACGGAGAAGAGAAAAGAAGAATCTATGCACAGTCTCTGACGAATAAGAGCGTCTGGGTACAACGCAATGTCAGCAACAGGATGTTCAAATACTTAGAACAGCACTGATACAATACCAAGAAACAGAGGAACAAGTCTTCCCGTCGACTGCTGTGCACTTGTTTCAGAAAGCGCCCGACAGTGGGACGAGAGTTTTCCTTCTCCCTTTAGCGCGGGGAACTCTGAGCCAGAAGCCGGTGCCCAGCTCTGGCTCGCTTTCTGTTTTCTTGTTCTCGCGCCAGAAACCCAACCTCATGGAACACAGCCCGCGCTTGGGAAACTCCTTTCGCCAGAACTGCGAACTGTGAACAGCCCATGACCTGAAAGGCGCTGTGGGGGCAGGGGGGGCGGGGAGAAGAGAAAACCGATCGATTGTTCACACAGGACCCCCGGAGCGCGCAGCGATTTTGCGGCATCGGAGAACTCCGTGCGAGGATGACATCGCCCAGGGTCGGATGCGCTCGGCTCCCAGCGAGGGCCGAGGCACCGGCTTCTGCCTTAGAGGCCGGGCGTGCGGCTCAAAAGAAAGAAAACGATTTGGGCGATCTGGTGTTTCTAAATCCGAAACGAGTTTCAAGAGCAGCAGCAACAACAACAACAACAACAAAAAACCAAAGCCAGATCTGTAGTGCGCGCCGCAGCCGCTCAAAGGTCAGAGTTTTGGTTTAGTAACTCTGAAAATTCAATTATGAATCAACGAGCCGCCAAGTTAGAGAACGCGTTTTCTAGTGATCCGAGAAAAAAAAAAAGAAACTGATGACACTCATCCAGAAAGCAGTGATCTGCATGCAGGCTGTGCACTGCGGACAGGCACAAGAAGGCTCACGTTTCTCGGGCGCAGACTAATCCAGCACTAATCCTCTGTTCGCCATAGTGCACATTCGAGACCAACACTGCTTTTGGAAGTCGATAGCCAGCAGTTTCGCTGCACTCGGACAATTAAAACGAGCGTCCCGCTCCCCAGTTCCGCCCCCCCAAAAAAACTGAGTCGTCTCTTCGAAGAGCCTCACGACTTTATGCTTGGGGCTGGGCCCTGTTCCCAAAACCAGGCTCCGCCCATCCTCTGGGTATTACATGTTTCCTGCTTTCCAGACGTGAAAAAGCACCAAAGGCCCCAGAACATCCAGGCTGGCTCAGGCCAGAGCTTCCTCCTCATAATCGTTCCAGAGCAGGGACCTCCAGCCCTGCACTGGCAAGCAGGAGGGCTCCCCTGGCACGTCTGGCTCCAGAGGCTGTACAGAGCAGATCACCCAGACTCGCTGCTGAAATGAGGAATGAGGGCAATGTTGCCAAGGAAACGGAATCCTTTTAGGCTGGAAGAGAGATGACGTGGGGCCTTGATTCAGATCTGAGACACCAGGGCCAGGGCAAACCAGGGGGTTTCAGGATCAGCAGCAACACAAGGGGGCACCAACGAAAAGTCTGTCTGAGGCTCGCTGCTGACGGGAAACAGGAAGCGCGTCTTTGCCAGGAGGATTGTGGGAGTCTGGAAACAGCCTGCTGGGAAATCTGGCACAGCCGAAGCACCCAGATGTTGCCCAACAACCTCCGGTCATCTGAATGTTTTCATGCCTCGTGTTTTTCCACAGAGTTCATCGCTCCAGGGCCATTGTCGGGAATTGAACAGCAGGATCGGAGGGACCTACCTCATGCGGTAATGGACAATCAAGTTCTGCTCGTCCGCCACTGCAAACACATGGTTGGGACTGAACCAGCACTTCTTCTCTGGGTCATAGAGTGCAAACAGGCTGTGGCACAGCGGGGATATTCCTGCAGGAGCAATTGGAAGAGAAACATCTGTGTTAGTGAGGGATTCTGAGGCCAACTCGGAGGGGAGGTGGAGGGGGGAGCGCAAAGGCAGAGCACCCCCTGTGAATACACACAGCCAACATGTGACTTGGTTGAACAGTCAGCACATCCTGTCACGTGGATTGCAGCACTCTTGCTTCTTCCTGCATGTCAGACCCTGAAGCGAAGGCAAGCGCACGCAGGTGCAGTTCTGAGATTCCAGCCAGGGTGCAAAGGATGAAAACCAAACCCCTGTCAAGGGACGCTTGGCATGTTATCTGGGGAAGCTATGATCTTCTCCAAGCTCCGCTCTGTTTTGAATGATCTTGTGCAAAACTATTTAATTTCAATAAGTTAGTAACTTCAATAATTAGATCACCAGACAAACAGACTACCCCCCTCCCCCAACACTAAGGAA